TATATATATATATATATATATATATATATATATATATATATACATACATACACACACACACACTTGCCAGAGCAGTGTCCTGCTCGGTTGATTCATTGTATTAAGTTCTGTAGAAACATAAAACATGCATTTAGAAAAATGTCCAAGTCAAAGGAATTTGGTATGTCCTGGTCTCTGGCGCGCGGTGGAATGATTCAGCTGGGACGTACGCTAGGGCTCCATATAGCTGCAGTTAACCCCAGGGCCGGCGCGTCCATTTAGGCAACCTAGGCAGTCGCCTAGGGCACCAGGATTTGGGGGGGAGGGCGGCAATTCGGCGGCGGGGAGTCCTTCCGCGCTCCAGGTCTTCGGCAGCAATTCTGCAGTGGGTCCTTCACTTGCTCCGGGACCCGCCGCCAAAGTACCCCAAAGACTGGGAGCACGGAAGGACCCCCGCCTAGGGCGCCAAAAACCCTGGCACCGCTCCTGGCTAACCCAGGTAGGTCCCATTAAGTAGTACTTCGCTCCTATGTAGCACTTTCACCCATAGATCCAAAACTCTTCACAAAGATTGTCAGATGGTCATCCCCATTTTATCTATGGGGAAACTGAGGTTAGTTGATTTGCCCAAGAACAATCAATGGCAGAGCTGGGGATAGAGCCTACATTTCTGATAGGATAGAGTCCATCCCAGTTGTGAGGTTACATTATGGCTGTTTTCTTGTGTGACGTGCTCACTTTGACGTTCTCCATGGAAACAAAGCATGTCGATCACAAAAGATGGGAGACAGTAGCCTGGAATTCAGCAACACTGACAAGGACATATCTACCCATGAACCCTAAGTGAAAATGAGCTCTGAGTGCGATACTGTAACTAAGAGGGTGAACACATCCTTCATATCTAAGCAGGAGACTATCAAATAGGATGAGGGAGACCCTATTACTTCTGTATACCGCATTAGTGAGACCATTATCGGAATAGTGTCTAGTCCTAGCGTCCACGCATCAAAAAGGGTTTAGGAAAAAGAGGTACAAGAATATTTGAGGTCTGGAAACCATTCCTCATAGACTGAGCTTCCTAAATCTCTCCATTGAGTTTATTCCAAGAGACGGTTAAGAGGTGACTTGATCACAGTCTATTACTAACTATATGGGGAAGCGATTTGTCAGTAAGTGGCTTTTTAATCAAGCAGGAAAAGGCATAATGGGATCCTATGGTTGGAAACGACAAATTCAGACTAGAATTATGGTGCAGATTTTTAACAGTGATGGCAAGTAACCACTAGAAGAACTTACACAGGGAGGCTGTGGATTCTCCATCACTTGCAGTCTTTATATCCAGATGTTGTCTTAAAATATATGCTATAGTTCACACAGAAGTTATGGGCTTGATGCAGAAATTGCTGGGTGAGGGTCTGCATTTTGTAGCGGGTCAGACTAGATCGTCATAATGTTTCCTTCTACCCTTAAAATTTCTGAATCTCAAGGCAATCTCATGGGAGCCTTCCCAATGAGAAGCAGGACAGAATGACTCAGCCGCCTCTCCAACCTTGTCTGGTCTCTACTGACTGTCTCCTCATCCATCCCACAGAGACACGTACCAGTGCTGTTGCTGTGGTGATTTTTGTTCCTCCAGATGCACCAACCACCATCTTGATCTTATTTGTTTTATCCACTAGGATTGATGGACACATGGAGGACATGGGCCGTTTACCTGTAAGAGTGCACACAAACATTAACTTGTAGTTAATTACATGCTCGGCATCTGGGCCCCCACCACCATAGCCTGCTTAGGCTAGAAATACAGAACACTGCTACTGTTGGTCTGCTTCTGGTTCAGCGCACAAGTCTCTCTTCAGCTGCCAAGGGGATTCTGTCATCCCCTGAACTCCCCCCCTTGTTGACTTTGTAGAGGGGGTGGGAGTGAAAACTACAAGGGCTTTGAGATGGCCCCTGACATATGGGCAGCGTGCCAGCTATCCAGCTGTGTGCACCCATACACTGGAGGCCAGGGTTCCGCTTCAGAACTCATCCCTGAGTAATGGGCCCTTCCTGGTCACTTTCCCGTCCGGGCGAGAACCTCTGTGGCTCTAGATCTGATTGGGGAGGCTCCCTTGCATTAAACCCCTGCCCCCCCCATCTCATTTTCATTGCCCCATGAGCTGTCATTGGCAAAAGGCAGCTTTTACATATAGGGGGTGTCCCTCTCTGACTCCACCTCACCTGTAAAAAAAATGGAAACAAGGGAAGTAAAGGGAAGAGACCTAGGTTTAAAGGTTAGCAAAAGACCGTGTATTTTTTTCAGAGCAGTATTCCAAAGGTATTGTGGGGGAGGGAGAGCATACACACTGACACAAATGCATTTTAAATATTTATGCAAATTCCTTGCAGCCCGTAGATTGTTGGAATGCTGCAAGGTTGTGCACCATTCCCAGGGCCTCCCACGTTCACTCACTGCCTCCCTGATCAGCGATGTCCAAGGCTCTCCTGCAGTTGTGGAGCACGGCACTTGGAGTGATTTTTGAGCTCACCTTTGCGAGAGCTTCAGGCAGCTGGGGATAAGCAAGTCCCGGGTGTTTTGCTTGACACTACAGATGCTTGTGTTCCTCTCGGCCAGGCAGTGCATACAGATCACAGTAAGGAAACGTGATCTGTAGTTAATGGAGCTGTTATCAGTGATGCAGTATACAGAACTTGCGTGTTTCCCATGTGTGAGAGGGACCCCGAGTCAGTGCAGAGTCAGGGGATGATGTCAGTCATGAGGTCAGTGAGAGGTCGGGGATGATGTCAATCATGATGTCAGTGCAGAGTCAGTGAGAGGTCAGGGGATGCTGCTCTCTAGCTGGCAGTCAGCATCACTTTGGTATGCAAAAGGCAGCCATGATACTGGCTAAGGAGAGGGAGTGAAGTGCTACCTGGTTTGATGAAGTTTGCAGTAGAGGGAGGGACTCCGAAGCCATTGATGATGTAAGGTGAACTGAAGTCGTCCATCTCATCGTTAAATATGATTCCACTCACGTTGGAGCGAACTTCTGAGCCAAAGCTAAATAGAACGAGCAGAAGGGAAGGCACGTCAAACCCAGACTCTAGGACAAGGACAAGCTTCAGGTAAATTGTAGGTCACATGAAACTAGGGCTGTTGATTAATCGCAGTTAACTCACGCGATTAAGTCAAAAAAATTAATCGCAGTTTTAATCGCACTGTTAAACAATAGAATCCCAATTGAAATGTATTAAATATTTTTGGATGTTTTTCTACATTTTTAAATATATTGATTTCAATTACAACACAGAATACAAAGTGTACAGTGCTCACTTTGTATTATTTTTATTACAAATATTTGCACTGTAAAAATTATAAACAAAATAAACAGCATTTTTAAAGTCACCTTATACACGTACTGTAGTGCAATCTCTGTATCATGAAAGTGCAATTTACAAATGTTGATTATTTTTGTTACATAACTGAACTCAAAAACAAAACAATGTAAAACTTTAGAGCCTACAAGTCCACTCGGTCCTACTTCTTGTTCCGCCAATCGCTAAGAGAAACAAGTTTGTTTACATTTATGGAAGATAATGTTGCCCGTTTCTAATTTACAATATCACCTTAAAGTGAGAACAGGCATTCGCATGGCACTTTTGTAACCAGCACTGCAAGTATTTACGTGCCAGATATGCTAAACATTCATATGCCCCTTCATGCTTCAGCCACCATTCCAGAGGAAATGCTTCCATGCTGATGATGCTTGTTAAAAAAATAATGGTTAATTAAATTTGCGACTGAACTCCTAGGGGGAGAATGGTCTCCAGCTCTATTTTACCTGTATTCTGCCATATATTTCATGTTATAGCAGTCTCAGATGATGACTCAGCACATGTTGTTCATTTTACGAACACTTTTACTGCAGATCTGACAAAACACAAAGAGGTACCAATGTGAGATTTCTAAAGATAGCTACAGTACTCGACCCCAGGTTTAAGAATCTGAAGTGCCGTCCAAAATCTGAGAGGGACGAGGTGTGGCACACGCTTTCAAAAATCTTAAAATAGCAACACTCAGATGCGGAAACTACAGAACCCAAACCACCAAAAAAGAAAATCAACCTTCTGCTGGTGGCATCTGACTCCGATAATGAAAATGAACATGCGTCAATCCGCACTGCTTTGGCTCGTTATCGAGCAGAACCTGTCATCAGCATGGATGCATGTCCTATGGAATGGTGGCTGAAGCATGAAAGGACATATGAATCTTTAGCGCATCTGGCATGTATATATCTTGCGATGCCAGCTACAACAGTGCTATTCGAACGTCTGTTCTCACTTTCAGGTGACATTTTAAACAAGAGGAGGGCAGCATTATCTCCTGCACATATAAACAAACTTGTTTGTCTGAGCGACTGGCTGAACAAGAAATAGAACTGAATGGGCTTGTAGGCTCTAAAGTTTTACATTGTTTTATTTTTTAATGCAGTTATTTTTTTGTACATAATTCTACGTTTGTAAGTTCAACTTTCATGATAAAGAGATTGC